GAAAGGACCAGGTCATGGACTGACTTTTATTTCTTAGGTTTTTTGCCCAAAGTAAAGGAGACTCTGAAAGCCATTACATGGTGCTCACATGGCAGGGAGTGGCAGCTACGCACATGAATCACAAGTTTCTTTCTTAACATTTGAAACTCCTTTGCTATGTCTCAGATAACTGTTAATGTGGAATCCACACACACAGCATTGGATGGTGAGGCAGAGAGAAAAATGACGCAGCACACTGGGCTGCCTTCCATCCACATGTGGCTAAATGGAGAGTGGGCCGGGGTTTCACGGTGAAGTGCTATCACTCTCACTAATCATAGTAGCGGACTATGATCATCTGAAAGAGATTTCCTTTGATTTGGTAATTAACCGGTGTGTAGGATAGTAGGAATTTTTTTTTTTTAAATGATATAAAAGGGAACTAGTAGAAGAGAGTCGATTCTCTGGGGGGAAGTAGCATTTGCAAATTATCTTTGTATAGAAGACAACATTTTAGTGGGTTTCTCCCTCCTTGCCTTGCATACGCCATTTGAAATGGCCCATAAATTGCAGAAAAATCCAAATACCAGAGGTGTGCAAACTATCCACAGATAAAGGCCATTGACTTCTAACTTTATAGTTAGAGGGCAAAGTTACGTTTTCAGGTCTTGTTCATGACTACCTTTTGTTTTCCTTTTTGGGAGTTGCCTGAATAATGAACAGACTAGCCTCCCCACTGCACCATTTGTAGTTTTTTTCCGTTCATGGAGATGGGTTAGGAATTTTGTACTGGTCCTAAATAATAACCATCCACTTTAACTAATTGCTTTCTGATGAGTATGTCTGAATAATTGCCTAAGGAGTATAATCTTGAATGATTAATAAGATTTGCTCATAAGGCACTTTTCTCTTGCAGCCTCCTAATTTCCCCTACAAAGATGATGTTATGTCAGTGAATCCTACCTGCTTGGTCCTTATTATTCTTCTGTTTATCAGCATTATCTTGACTTTTAAGGTAAGCATAAAGATTTTACTTATGGTCTAAATCTTATTCCCTAGTGCCAAAGAAGGACTTTAGTCAGTTCATCCATTGTCTTGCTTTAGATATCTGAACTGCTTTTTGATTTGCTAACATTATATTTCTTTCTGTTACCCATATTAGAGGTGAGTACTAACCAGAATTCTACAGACCAGTCAAGGGTTATTCCAAAATCTACTTCGATGGGGATTAGGTGTATTGTTCATAATACATTTTTCCTTTTTACATTGCATAGTAGTATCATATGCTGTGACATCCATTAAAATACCACTGCACACATTCTTTTGTAATTTATTCTCTATTTATTTTATTGTACTAAAATATATGTAACATAAAATTTGCCATTTTAATCACTATTAAGTGTACATTCAGTTCAGTGGTATTAATTACATTCACAGTGTTGGGAACCATCACCATTGTCTATTTCCAAAAAAATTTTTATCACCCCAAACAGAAACTCTTTCAATAATAACTCCCCACTCCTCCATCTCCCCAGACCCTGGTAACTTCTAATTGACTTTCTGTTTCTATGCATTTACCTGTTCTCAGTATTCCAGTACATGGAATCATACAGTATTTGTCCTCTGGTCTTGTTCACTCAGCATTAGGTTTTTAAGTTTCATCCATGTCATAGCATGTATCAACTTTATTTCTCTTTATGACTGAATAATGTTCCTGTAATTTATTTTTTAAATGTTAAATGTAACATCATTCTATTGTCTAAATATCTATCATCTATTCTGAATATCGGGAGCTCTGGTAGCATAGTGCCTAAGGCACTTGACTGCTAACCAGAAGGCTGGTCGTTCAAACCCACCAGCTAGTCCTCGGAAGGAAGGTTGGCAATCCTACTTCCATAGTGATACTGCCTCGGAAACCCAAGGAGGGGTCTCTATGAGTCGGGGCCGACTCGACGGCACATAACAACAACAACAACATTCTGAATATCATTCTGAGTATCGTTCGATGTCAGTTATTTATGTGATTGCATCATATAGAGAATCATTGTTTAGTAAATTACCTATTGTTGGACACTGAGACAGTTTCTCCTTTTTCATGTGTTAGTGCTTTGGAGAGTATATTTACATGCTTATTTCCTTAAGGTACATTTCTTAAAATCTCTGTTGAAAATTATTAAAATGTCTAATAAGAAAGAAGATCACCCAAATCTATGATTGGGCTTTCAGAGACAACAGGCAAAAGGTTTTTCTCCTGTTGGGGTGCTTAGCAAGTGAACGCCTCTGGTGTTGCCGGGGGTCCTAGAGATTGTTGCCTGGGCATCTGTGAGGCCCCAGCCAGCATGTCCTTGCCCTTTGTTTGCTGGTTAGTCTTTCAGTTACAGATTTGTTTTAGAGACCACCTATCAAAAGAGTTCTTGCATTAAAGCATCTAGTGTGCACTACAAAAGTAATGCACAAATTAATCTTATATAACACACAACTAATATGTCTAAGCATTCCTTTCCATCTGTATTGAAATTCTCAAAAATTCAATATATTGTATACATTGTTTAAGAAACATTCCCTTTCATGTTTCTCTTTCTCATTGATGACCTATGGTTTCAGGTTATTGCCATTCAAGAAGCATTTTAGAAAATAGTGTTCTACATTTTCATCTTAACATCCAGAATTGAAATGTCAGAAATAATCACTGTCAAGTCTGAATTCAGCTTAAGCCAGCATTCTAAATATAAGACAGAGTATTTTACTTTCATGAAAAATGTTGACAATGTACCCCTTTTATTCTTTTTTTAAAATCGGATCAGAGTATGTTACTGAGTTTGTCCCCCCGCCTTTGTTGAACATTGTCTTTTTTAAAAACAGCTTTGTTGAGACGGGATATTCACTTTCATAAAATCCATCCGTTCGAAGTGCACAATTCAGTGGTTTCTAGTGTATTCATAGTTGTGCAATCATAACTGTAGTCGCACAATCTAATTTTAGAACATTTTCATCCAAAAGAAACCCATGAACAGTCACTCCCCATTCACCTACCCCCATCTTCAGCCCTAGGAAACCACTAACCTAGTTTCTATCCCTATAGATAAGCCTCTTCTGGACATTTCATATAAAAAGAGTCATATGATTTGTGTTCTGTTGTGTCTGATGTATTTCATGGAGCATAACTTTTCAAGGTTCGTCCATGTCATAGCATGTATCAGAACTTTGTTTCTCTTTGTGGCTGAATAATATTCCGTTGTATGGATATACCATAGTTTATGTATCCATTCATCAGTTGATGGACATGTGGACTATTTCTGCCTTCTTAATTTACTTTTCATTGTGATTTGGGTGAAAATTTACAAAGCAAATTCACTTTCCATACAGCAGTTCACATATACTTTGTCTCATGACATTGACTATAATTTACCAAAATGCAGCAGCTCTACTCCTAGTAGTTACGTCTTCCCTGTGTCCATCCCTCCACGCACTCCTACCCCCTGAGCTGTCTCCCTGTGCATTAACAGCCCTTCTTTCTTCCAAGATTGTTCTCTCCAAGGAGTGTATCTACCTCAGGTAGATATTCAACTCATATGCCTGTCTTTTGTTTGGCTGGAAGCCACAGGTGTGTGTTTAATTCCATACCTGAAGGGCAGCTAGGGGCCATAGTCTCAGTGGTTCCACCAGGCTCTATCAGACCAGCAAACCTGGTCCCCCACCCCCTTTTTTTTATTCCAAATGATTTTGAATTTTGTTCCACATTGTTCTCCCTCTTCATCCAGGATTTCCTACATAGATCCCCCTCGGAGTGGTTGACAGTGGTAGCCAGGCACCATCTAGTTCTATTGGTCTCCTAGTCATACAGGCTGAGGATTGCATGGTGTACCAGTTGCTTGGACTAATTGTTTCTATGAATCTTGAGTTTTCTTCATTCTTCTTTGCTCTGGATGAGAAGAGACCCATTGTTGGCATCTAGATGGCTGCTTGCAAACTTTTAAGATCCCAGTCGCTACTTGCCAAAGTAGGATGTGGAGCGATGTTTTGTGTAGTATGTTATGCCAATTGAGCTTGATGTCCCCTCCAACTATGTTCCCGAGCCCACAGGTCCATTTTCCTCCCTCTGGGTGCTGGCTGTGGCCAAGAAGTGACTACACCTTTGTCTCTTGTCAGCTCTTTTATACCTGGGAATTCTTATAAAACATACCAGTACATTTGTAGAAACATTGTCTGCTAACCCTATACATGGTCTTGGGCACACTTCCCCCCTGCATAGACATACCTAATAGTTCAGCCTGTCCACCCATCTATCCACCCATATAGCCATGTTTATCTTCATTGACAATGCAGTACTGTATACTGTATGTGTAAAAGGGTTCATCTTTGTTGTCTGTACCTCCCATGTACCTCTCTATGTCTTCCTCTTCCTCAGTGCCACCATATTGATCACTCATTTGGTACATTGCCCTTCTAGAAAGAGATTCTTGATTCTTGAAATATTTTGTTCTAATCCAGTTACAGATGATTGAAATGAAAGTGTGAAAGGTTCATAGTTTAAACATCTCTCATGACTTTGTCCTTTATTTCTAGCATGGCTTTATAGTGAGCATTAATTTTAAGTATCTTCTTTGGAGCTATTTTTATTACATTGTGAAAATGGGAATATTTTGGTGAATTTGGTTGACTGTGATACAAGCTTATATGCTGTGAACCTGTTTTTGAAAATTGCCTCGTCTAATAAAATCACAGATAATTATGTAGAATAAAAATTTCCAAAGAAGCAGGATTAAACTATGGTGAGAAATAGGTTTAAATTTGATTGTTCTGTGAATGGGAGGGGGGGAAAATTTGTGGCAATTGCTGATTCCGACTACATTTTCTTAGGAATTTCTTATTCTGTTCTGGATTCAGCTCCTCCCATCTCCAAACCCACCACCGCCACCTTCTGGGTATCTGTTTATACATAGAACAAGGCTACAGTAGCAGCCTTTGCCAGAAAGTTACTATACCCAGCATTTGTAATTTTAAAGGCTTTTGGTTTGAGTTAGTATGTACATTCACTATTTATGTAAATAAACATTTTATAACATGAGTCTATCTATGATGGTATTTTAAATCTGAAGTTTGAAGATTGAAAATCTGATAATCACTACTCAACTTTCAGGGTTACCTGATTAGCTGCGTTTGGAACTGCTACCGATACATCAATGGAAGAAACTCTTCTGATGTCCTGGTTTATGTTACCAGCAATGACACTACGGTAGGTGTGACACCTCTTAGTGTGGAGATCTCCCCCACTGCTTTACTGTATTATGGCTTCTGCATGTGGCGCAGTGCCTAAGGCATTTTACTGCTAACTAGAAGGTTGATGGTTCAAACCTACCAGCCGTTCTGCAGAAGGAAGATGGGGCAATTTACTCCCATAAAGATTTACTGCCTCGGAAGCCCAAGGTGGATCACTGTGAGTCAGAATTGACTTGATTGCGGTAAGTTTGGATTTTTTGAGTTTGAGTCTTTCCAGTATTTGCTACATTGGCTCAACAGACTCAGGATTTTTATTGTTGTTAAAGCCTACTTAATCATCAAAAGATTCGTAGTTGAATGAAATGAGTTTCATTTTCCTTACATAATGTTAGAATGTAGGTAATTCAATTCCTTGTTTACTTTTTTTTAAATATCACAGAAGATAATATATATGTATCTTACCCATATTTGTATGTTTTCAACCTTAATCACTAAGCCATGGTATACCAGTCTGAATATCAGTTCTGCATATTATGATGACAAAGTTGCTGTCTACATGTGAAATTAAAACTAGTTGTGTGATTTTATAGGTAGATAAGGAAGAGTTATTATGTCTTTGAACCTTGCCCTGCTTATGAAAATCTTAGTTAAATAATTTAGGTGATCTCTGGCCTGCTGTTACATGCCTGTACGTACTTACAAATTTTTAATCTACCAAATGTGATTTTGGGAAATGTGCCTTCACTGGAAGGGACCTTGAAATCATTTGTACTTTATGCAACTTATCTTGAAACTGCCTGGTTTATGGTAAAGTTATAAAAGTGTAAGTCGTCTTGGTGTCGAACCCCATGTGTCTTTGTCATCTCATAACCCCATGTGTCTTTGTCATCTCATCTTCGTATTCAGCACTGTGCCTGAAGTAGCGCTCGTTAGAAGTCAGTTCTCCATGAGCAGTTAATGAAGTGGGTGGAGATGGGTGATATGAATACATGGGTTGAGTCAAAAGGATAAGACTGGACAGGATAAGATGCATAGGTTAATGATGAATGTTAAGTCATGTCTAAACTGGAACAGAGTTTTTTAAAAAAAAAAAGTTCTGGTGACTTGCTTGCTGTGTGACTACTGATATAATTTAACCTGTCCCTGACTTGACTTTCCTGTATATATCATGGGAATAAAACAGTTTCATACTTTATTAATTATATGGATGTAGCATTTCTGAGAGGAAGTGTGTTACCATGAATAGCTTTCCTAAGTGCTCAACAAGCATTTGTTGAGTTGGTTCAAAAATGCACGAGCTCTGTTTCAGGATCGAACTCTCACCTGATGAGGTGCACAGAAAGCAGAGCACCCAGGTGCTGGGGACGCACTTTTTGGGGGTTTGTATAATCCTGTGCACTGATTACAGTAAACATGTTTTACTTAACTCTTTTAAAGAATTATTCTTGGGTCAGTGAGTCTCTTTGTTGAAAACTATTATAATCTTGATCAAATGTCCATCCATCCTTCTCTTTGCATTGTTGGATATTTAGTTGTCTATGCTTTTCTGCTTTCTGTTTTCAAAACAAAACACTCAGCACAGTAATTGTCAGCGAACTAATAAAAAAGCTAAAACTCAGTGAGACTTTTAAGTTAGAGAGTTTTGAGTTTGAGGAAGAATAAAATGGTTAAACCAAGCAACACATATCAGAACCTCATCCTGAATACCAAGGAGAGCAGGGTTTATAAAGCTACCATCTTTTTGGAGAAGTGTCTCAGGGAAAATAGTGCACTATTGCATCAGTTTGATTTGATAGGCTTTTGATTATTCTGTTGCAGTGCTTTTTGAAGGGTTGTGTGGGCACTTTTAAACAAAGGCAAGATGGAAGAGCTAAAAAGATATGTAGATAGACCACAAATCAAAGGCTACGTTGAATTTGTAGAGAATTTAAGAGCCATGAGAAAATCCCTAAAATATGCCCTGTTATCTTTTTTAGAGAAAGGTCTTATTTTTCCTCTTTGATGTGTTCAGGACAACTCTGACTTTTCTGATGCTAGGCCTCTCTCCTTCAGAAAGGCTTCCGGCTGGGCGGTAGTTGATTGTAACCGGAATTTGGAGCCATCGACTAGTGCCCAGCTGTGATTGTTGCCTGATATGTTGACATAAGGTGCTGGGAACTGCCTGCTGCTGCTGGTCATTCTATGTTGTTCCAGGCTCATCTTGTACATTCCTGCCCCAGACCTGAAATGGGCCCTTTCTTTAAGAAGCCCAGCATCATTTTTGTGGGAGATGGTATTTGGAGAACACAGTCTGGGTTTCTAGAACAAATTTCTTTTTTTAAGCCAGGCTCTGCATGTTTAAGGATGGTTTTGACTGGAACTGAAGAAGTCAGTGTTATAGTGTTAGTGTTCTAACTTAAGAAGACCAGGTGTCCCTTAGCCTCACTCTGACCTCCCCAGTCGGGGTTGGGATGATCTAGTTGTGTCATTTGCCCTGTTCTCTGGGTTCACAGAGTGTATGATAGTGTATGTTTCTCTTTTGTCCATATCTGTATTGGGAGTCCACACTGACCTAGTAACATATTGCACTTCTCACTTCCTACTAAATATTAGGCCAGATGGCTTTCTCCCAGGCTGAATAGTATCAGGCCCCCCTCTGGAAAGCTACTGGGACTCTTCCTGGTGGAAAATAAATGTGTATGTGTGTCCCCCACCGAGCCCCCCTTTCTTTTAAGCAGATATTATTAGCCAGTTATGTACTTTCCCAAATTCTGCTGAGGCAGGACAGATAAGAGTTATTAGATACTTGAGGTCATTCACTAAGTTATTTTGTTCGTCACTTTCCCAACCAAACCTAACCAGAAACCTTTGAAGGGACTGCTTAGAACAGAGGGTCACAGACTCACTTCATAAAGTCTTAGGGTCTTAGTGATTTTTTGTTTTCCCCATAGCACCCTTAGGTAAAAAAAAAAAAAAAATCTACTTCTTTAGTTTATTAAGTAGTCAGGTCCCAACAACTTCACAGAAGTAGTAAGTGTCGTATCTAACAGGTGCTGTTGTGTTTTCTTGAAAATTTAAAATACCTCAAGGTGCCCAAGGAGGCTGTAGCATGCCTTTCTGAGCTGTGTTGTGGAGTTCATGTGTAATGCCTAGTGCTAAATTTTACCTATTACCGTAACATTCTCACACCTCTACTCCCGTCAGAATTTGGCTTTCAGGGAAAAAACCTTAAAATGCTGAACATGTAGGTTGATGGAAACAGATTTTCTGCCCATTATTTTTTATACAAATTGAGATGATTAAAAATACTTTAATATATGCAACCCTGTTTTGCTAGTACGAATATTAAAGACTTGGATCCTGGTAGTATCCAGTATCTTGTTAAATCTGAAAGTACAAAACATAATTGCTTTGGAATTGGGGCACTGTAAAAGCAGTCAGATTAATATTTAGCCAAAATGGTATCTGAAATGCTGAGTCCTGATAAAAGAATTATAGTTTTGGATAATGTAGGAAAAATCTTAGCTACTTAGGCATAAATAGGACATTTTAAACTTCATGGAGTATTATGCTTTATCATATTGGAGGTGCTAATCCATTTGAATGCTTACGTACAAGCTTTATTGTTTTGACTTCAAAAGTGTCTTACTGTGTTGGTCCTATTTACTGAGTCTGTGGCTGTGTGAAAAACACAGTTATTAAGAGTAAAGACCAGCTTATCTCCCTGCAGCTATTTTCAGTAGATGCTCTGTGAGGTGCTTGAGATTAATTAAGGCTGACTTTGTATTTTCAAAAAGCCACAAAACAAGTATCAGTTGACTGGGATGGGATGGGATTTAGTAGTAGCCTCAATGACGTTAAGAAATCCCACAAACCAAATCCATTGCCATTGCATTGATTGTGACTCTTAACGACCCTATAGCACAGAACCCTTCATAGAGTTTCCGACACTGTGATCTTCACGGGAACAGACTGCTGCATCTTCCTCCCCTGGAGCAGCTGGTGGGTTCAAGCCATCAACCTTTCGGTGAACAGCTGGGCATTTAACCGCTGTGCCACTAGGGTTCCTTGACTTTAAAAAATAGTGCGTAAAAATCCCCCCCCTTTTTATTTTAAATAAAAGAGTTCATCACTTCCTAAGAATGGATTGCATAGGATAAGAAACAAGTCTTTGATTGGATGATATGAATTCTGTTCATTTTTTTCTCACAGTTGAGAGACACAGTTGACAGCAGGAGAGATTTTTAGGTAGATTTCAGAAGTTCCTTCTTTCCCGATAAACTAGAATATTACTGAGATGAAAAAGAATATTAGAATATTACCACAATGTACAGTAATCATCGTTTAAGATTCTGTAGAAAAGTTATAACTAACTTTCTGAAATGATCTTGAGGAAAGCTTTGCCTTAATAGGTGGTTACTAAGCTGGCTTTTAAGATCTTTTTCAGTCCTGGACATTTCAGACTCATGTACACTGAAAATATCTCTCTAACTAAACAAACCTTTTGTTATGGTCCTCTGCCTAAATGAGCCAAAGGATCCAGGAAATAGATTGCCCAACCTTCCTTCCGAGGAGGGAGTGACTGGTGGGTTTGAACCGCCAGCCTTTTGGTTAGCAGTCAAATGCTATAGGCATTGTGTCACCAGAGCTCCCACCTAACTTCTAGAGGGTTTGAAGCTCTAGCCTGTGATTCGTTGGCCTTTTTGACCTATTGTTTTGGGGTACTATTGAGTCATTTTTTGACTCATAGCAACCCTGTGAAATTGCCCATAGAGTTTTTTGGTCAGTAATCTTTATGGAAGTGGATTAGCAGGCCTTTCTCCTACAGTGGCTGGGTAGGTTCAAACTGCCAACCTTTTGGTTGACAGCTGAGTGCTTAACCATTGTGCCACCAGGGCTCCTTGTCTGACCTATTATGCACTGTAATATAAAAACTAAAAAACCAAACTCACTGCCAAGGAGTCAGTTTTGACTCAGAATGACTCCTGTTGGGTTTCCGAGGCTGTAAATCTTTACGGAAGTAAATACTCTGTCTTC